GGCTGAGCTCACCCTCGCATCTCCTCGTCAAATTTCATCGCCGGAAACTTCAAATCCGTCCTAAAACCGAAACGGAATCCAATTTTTCGTTTTGATTTCAATCGTCTTCCACGATTCCCTGTGATTTCTTAGGGTTTTTGAAAAACCCTATCAATAATCCGCATTGCTCGTAGATTCCTCTTCAAGTGACCGCACATTCAATTGCTTTTTCCTGTTAAAACTTTGCACCAAGATCAAGGCCTCCTTGAGAGAAAGGGACAGACGAGAAAACTAGAGGAAGAAATTAAAGAGGAGCTGGAGATTTCCCAGATTTATGATTTTGGGAATTTTGATTTAGGGATTCAGATGGTATTTAGATGGTATTTTTTTTTTTTTTTTTTTTTCTCGCCTGTTATCCGGAGTTTTGCTCTAACTAATCTGAATCCGACCTGTGTCGCACATTTGAAAATGATGAGTGAGTTTCCAGCAAGACTGTTGCGTGCACAATATCTCAAATTCAAAATCTTACTTAAACTAAAATAAGGCCTTCTCACTTAATCTATCCGTTTGTTTTTAGATGGTATTTCTTATATGCTGTGGAAGATGCTGTGGCAATGGGTGGGGTCTACAAGGCAAGGTGGAAAAAAAAATAAAAAAAGCTTAACTGGTGTGACCGTTTGTATTTAACGGTCAATAAAGAGTACCGTTAGACATTAGCATATTTTTGCATTGTAGGGGATGATAGGTGGAGTTAATTGATAGTAAGAGGATGACATAGAGCTAATCCATAGTAGAAGGTTTAGATTGCATTATTTTTAATAGTAGAGGGATGATAGATGGCATTAATCCGATGAGAGATGGGTAGGGTTTCGGTTGGTGAGAGATGAGACTAAGATTGAGATTTATGCGCGCCACACAATCGCCACTCTTCAGAAAAGGCGCGAACAACCGCTAGGAAACCCTCCCTTTTTTTTTTTCTCGTCTTTTTTCACCAATTATGAAATAACATATTAATTACATAATTCACAAATTAATCAAACAATCTAAAAACCTAAAAAAAAAACTATTATTATATATATAAATATAAAAAATTTAGCATAAGTTTTTTTTTATAAATAGTCTTTTTTTTTTTAATTTTCAACCCTCTAGAAATTAATGATGAAAATGGGTCCCCATTTTTTTTGGCTTTTGTTAAAATGGCGGGAATTTCTCCCCAAAAAAAAAATAAAAATCCATTCTGTCTTCACGTCGGTGTATCATTCTGAATGCATTTTTGACGTCACACCCAGCATTTTCAAATAATTTTTATCTCTCTTTTTTTTTTTTTTTTGCATTTATGGCCATTTTTCTAATTTTTTCTTTATTTTTATTAAAGGAAAAATTAATAAAAATAAGTGCCTTCCTTCCCTCCACATATATATCCGAACCAAAATTCCCTCCCTCCGCTTCTTCTTTCCCTCGTTTTCTGCTCATTTTCTCTCTCCCGCTTTTTCTTATTTTCCTTCTTCCCAAACACCAGATCTAAGAATTTTCCGCCCAAAAATTCCCTGATTTCTCCACAATTACTTTCAACTTGTGTTGTATTTATCGCCGTCACCGGACGGGAAATCAGAATCAATTTATTTTGTTTTTTTCTTCTTATTATTATTATTTTTAATCTGATGTCGGGTTCCCAAGCACCTAACCAGTTAAGACAGTCCATGCAGCAGCAAAATCAGCAGTCATTGAAACGGCAGCCTCCCTTCTCGACGAAGCCGTCAGGAGGGGACTATCACAGCTTCGACCCGGCCCAGCCGCGCCGTGCCACCGATCAGGAAGCCGAGGGTATCGTAGTTAAGACTCCCGTGGGTTTTCCTGCTTTGCAATAATTATTCTATTTTTCTTTTTAATTTTTTGAAATTCATTTTATATTAAGGGATTATGGATTGCTGCTTTGTGATCATGGAATTTTGATGAGATCTAATTGTTTTTTTTTTTTTAATTTGGTTGAGTTTTTGGTATTTGGCTTTTATGATTGAAGTTTGCAGATTTAGAAATTGTAAAGTTAGGTTTTTTTTTTTTTTTAACTTAGATTATTGGGGTTTTTTTTGTTTCTTTAATTGGGATTTAAGATGGGTTTTGGTTGTTTTATGTTGCTTGAAGGGAGTTTTTGTTGACCAAGTATGGTAGGATTTCTTTTATTGGGTACTTTGCTGACCTAATTTGGTAAAAAAAAAAAAAAAATCTGACTTTTCTGTGATAATTGACTCAAGATTGTGTGTTTGAATATGTGAATTTGCTCAATTTTAAGATACTTTGCATTTCTATTTCCATGTTCTAATTGTATGGTTTTTGCGTTTACTAGCCATTGAAGAGGAAGAGTGATGCAGTAAATCGTGAGGCTGAATCAAGTGAGTGGGCTATGGCTGGATACACTGAAGTGGTTAACAGCAATCTCCAGACACCTGTATCAGGGAAGGGTGGAAAGGCTTCGAAATCAAGGGCTACAAAGAGCAATAGATGTCCACAAACTCCTGTTTCACATCTTGGTGAGTGTTATCTTATAGAACTTCTATAGTAGAGGTACACAGTCGTAGTACTAAAAAACCCCTTGGAAATCAGCAGGTTCTCCTGGAAATAATCTCACCCCAGCTGGTCCTTGTCGTTATGACAGCTCCCTAGGTATATTTCGATCTTTTTTTTTTTACTTATTTTCACTAATCATTCGGAATAAATCTAGAAGAGATTGAATTGGCTTTATTATGACTGCCTTGCATTTGAGCAAGTTTGTAGAGTGGGAGTAACTTAAAATATCTTTTCATTTTAACTCAGGGCTGTTGACAAAGAAGTTCATCAATTTGATTAAACAAGCTGAAGATGGCATTCTTGATCTAAATAAAGCTGCTGACACTTTAGAGGTCCAAAAGCGAAGGATATATGACATAACAAATGTCCTTGAAGGGATTGGGCTCATTGAAAAGAAACTCAAGAATAGAATCCAGTGGAAGTAGGGACTATATCTTCATCTTTCTCAATTTTTTGTCAATCATGACTGAAACTGTTTTCATCTCTGGATGTGCATTAATTATTTTCACACTTGAAAAGTCACAATTTTTGTTTCATCTTAGGGGACTTGATGTCTCAAGGCCTGGGGAGGTTGATGAAAGTGTTACATCTCTACAGGTAAAAGAGATATAGAGAAATTATTAATTCATTGAAATGAGTCTCTTATATGCTTTTGGCATTGTGGTTTTCTAGTTATACTTTGTTACCTGATTTTTCTTCCAACTGTTTACAATTCAAGAACAAAATCAAGGATGTTTCTTTGCTGACCATTTGGTTTGGGCTGCCAAGATTTCCCCCTTATTTATCTTATTTTGTTCACGTCTTCTGTCAAAATATTTGGTATTTATTTCAGTGACTATTTTAATTTGCCTTTTCTTACTTTGTACCTTTCCCTGTCTTACTTAGTCTCAATTTTATTCATAAAAGTCTGCTATTTGGATTGTCAAACTAAAATGATGAAGCTGTGCTGAGTTGGAGTGAAATTAATTTGTAAAGATAATAAGTGGAAATCTTAGATCACTGTTATTGCATGGGCAAACCTGACACTCATCACTGCATTTCGGTGATTTTTGCTGCAGGCAGAAGTTGAAAACCTCACCATCGAGGAGCGCAGATTAGATGAACAAATAAGGTTACACATCTGATTGCCTCTGCTGTCAAATCTTAGTTCCTTTGGTATTTTCTCTGAATTTTTTTGAGATTCCTTTTTTACGCAGAGAAATGCAAGAAAGGTTGAGGGACCTGAGTGAAGACGAAAATAATCAAAAGTAAATGCATTCTCTGATCTGCACTATAATATTATCACTTAGTAGTTATGACTTTCCAACTTGAAGCTGAGGTGTCAGAGGTGAAGACAACTCATTTCACCTTCTTTACATTTCAGGTGGCTTTTTGTTACTGAAGAAGACATCAAGAGCTTACCCTGCTTCCAGGTCAGTTTGTTTTCTTAACAAGTTCCATTTCTCTTGGTTTAAGGTGACTGTGCAGGTTTTAACTTTGCGATGTATTTCCTCATTCAGAATGAAACATTGATAGCTATTAAAGCTCCACATGGAACGACTCTGGAAGTCCCAGACCCAGATGAGGTATTCTTGAAAGTGTTTCATAACTAATGCAATGTTCTTGTACTATATTCATACTCATAACTTCACATTGTCTTTTCATAACTAAAGGAAAAGTTCTTGTTTTTAGGCTGTTGACTATCCGCAGAGGAGATACAGGATAGTCCTTAGAAGCACAATGGGTCCTATAGATGTTTACCTTGTCAGGTACTTTTGCTCCTTTTTGTTATCACTTGTCAATTTTGCAAGTGTTTTATGTGTTCTCTATTTTTCTGGCAATTTAAAAACTCTTCATTTGTGATGGTTGTCCATTAAAGCATCAAAGTTATGTACTCTCCTGATGATTCTTTCTTGTGCTCATTGCCCTCCCCTTCTTCTGTTCTAGTCAATTTGAAGAGAAATTTGAGGAGATACATGGTGCAGAGCAACCTCAGAACTTTCCATCAACTTCAGGCTTGAATGAGAACCCAGCAACAATGGTGGTAACAGATGACAACAGGGGGAAGGAGACAGAAATGCAAGGGCAAGATACTCAGAGAACATGCTCAGACCTTAATGCCTCACAGGACTTTGTGAGTGGGATCTTGAAGATTGTTCCAGATGATGTTGATGTAAGATTCACATCTGAACTTATATCCATATGCTGCTTTTAGGAACATAAAGAGTGGGGTTGCTTTTTAAAGGCAACCTTATTTATGGTTAAAAATGAAGTAAGCTATTCATTAATACTTAAGCTTGGCTAGATCAAAACTTGCTTATTTGGTAAAAGGAACAGGAACAATCTCGATTTTGGTGCTTGTTTCAGCAACAAGCTAAGATTGAAGAGACATCCCAGCTTGGGTTCATTGCAGCTTGTGAGCTAAAGTCTGGAACTTTCTCAATTGAGCATGGCTAATGATAAGCATTATTAATGAAATTATGAGAATCCGTTGAACATGATAACAAAGAATGAGATGTTCGAAGAGAAGTTTCTCTTTTTTTGGTCTTGTTGTAAAATGATCCATGGTTTCCCTATTGTTTGGAGAATTAACATGTTATGTTAATAGGGGAAATTGGTTCCTTTATGTTGGTGGTTAGATATTAAAGATCATAACTGATCTTTGTTATGAGCGGAAGTTGACTGTTTATTAATTTCATTTATCTTTCTCTTGCAGAGTGATGCTGATTATTGGCTCTTATCGGATTCTGGTGTGAGCATCACCGACATGTGGCGGACTGAACGTATCCTCTTTGTTCTTTTGACAGGATTTTACTTAACCGTCCGTCAGTTATTATTTGTCTGAGTTCTTATTAAGGGTAAAATCCTAAAACCCATTTAACCAACTTAAGTTTCAACTGGAAAAGAAAAATGTAGTAAAATTTCAACAATGTGCAACGAAATACCATTAGAGGGAAACTGTTTAAAACAATTGAGGTACAGTGAGGAAAGATTTTGGTAGTGGCTATCCTTTGAAAAGTGCAAGTATCAACTCTTTTTGAAAATTAATATTCCCATGCAATCGTCTTTTGGTGTTGCAGTAATTGAATTATCCAAGGTTTATATTTCCAGCTTTTAACTTTGGTTAATGACGTGTGAGGCTTTAGATACCAAGAGTTAATTCCCCCACCCCCTCCCTCTCTCTTCCAATTTTTAATTGCCTTTTTTTCCAAGTTAATTATTTTTTAATTTCCATGACTACTGACCCTAGCTGGTGTTCAATGGAATGAATTTGACACACTTAGTGAAGACTATGGCATGGCCAACATTAGCACGCCACAGCCCCAAACTCCACCTTCAAATGCAACAGAAGTGCATCCCAGTAAATTCTGATTCAACTGCTAGGCGACAAGCGCACTTTCATGAATCAAAGTGTAGTTGATCGGCTCACTCATCCACCGAGAACTTGTGATATCAAGTTCTCTGCCTTCCACCTTGCTGATACACTGGTAAGCCCCCAAAGGTTCTCAGAGTTACCTACTTGGCTTTCCTCAAAAGTTTTGAGGGACCAAAAAGTATAGATAGAGAGTAGAGGAATCAATGTACAGTTAAGAAATACATATGATCCATGTGATCTTGTAGTTAATAGGGTTGTCTCATATCTGAGTCTGTCGTTGTATATTTATATTTGTACAATTTCTTTGCGTTATTGTATCAACTAGAACATCTGTTTAGATTAACTCGACATAATGTTATGGTGACTGAATGAACTAGATGTAAGTTTTGCTTTGACTACACTATGAAAATTCTGGCTTCTACTACCTGTACAGATAGAGAGATAAAACTTTAATCTCCAGTGGAGATAAAAAGGAAGCATGCTTGTTCTATGTATGTGTGAAACAGGTAATTGAACTTGGAGGTACCAAGCAAGAAGCGATATTTTTCTTTCTCAACATTGTTTCCTATCGAACTGGTAACAATTGGAGTGAGTGTCACAGTGGAAGGAAACTTATTATTAGAGATGCAGCCTTGTGAGCAGCATGTGCCAAAGCCAAAGCAAAGGTCCAAACCTTCTCTCCTGTTTCATTAGTTGAGATTCCAATCTGGACATACCAGATAGTGCATAGTTAGTCCAGAAAGCTCTCATCCATGGATGGAATGAAATTGGTGAAATGTTCATCATGTGGCCAGGATTTGTTCTCCTGCTTTTGCCTTTTGCAACAATGCTTGAATATGAATGCCGGGACTAATTTTAGTGCATAGGATAGTGAGAATGAGATCAAGGCGAGGGTAATGGAGGTAGCCAGCTTTGCTCCTCCATTTTTGGCCATTATTTAATCTTTTTACTTCAAAATAATTGTCTTTTTTTTTTTCACAAATAAAAAATGTATAAGCAATTTGTATTTTTAAATATATTACTCTAGAAAACAAAAAAGATTTTGGTGGTTGAAAATTAATCTTAAGTGATACGAATAAGATTAAAGTGCAAAAGTATTTATTCACTTTGAAAATAGAGAAAAATGACAAAAATTTTATAACATTTTTTTAATCTAAAATTAGTGTTGTCAATCTCAACATTTATTGACATGAAAGCAAAATAAAAATATTACATTGTAAGTACCAACTCAGGTCAAATACAGCTCAAATTTAGTGTTTATGGCTGCTACAAAGTACTTATTTTATTTTATTTTTTTGAATGGACTATAATTAATGGAAGGGAGATTCGAACCCTATCTTAGAATTGAGATGAGAGTTATCACGAAATTCAAATATAAAGTATCTATTGTAACCCAAAAAAA